AGAGAAGAAGAAATCGACTCCGCCGACATCTATGCCAGCCCGCTTTTTCATAGACGAAGCCGCTCCCGCTTTCGATGTGAATATTTGGGACAATCACCAGCCTGAACCTGAACCTGAACCTGAACCTGAACCTGAACCTGAGCCTGAACCTGAGCCGGAGTCCGCTATCGTTATTGCAGCGGAAGAAAGAGAGCTTTTCCATCTGCAAGTTAAGCAGAGGAAGCCGCTCACCACCAAGAACCAGAAACGACTTGAAGAGTTGCTTGGGAACGCAAGGCGCCGGGCTGAGAAGGCGGCGAAAGAAAGAGAGGATAAGGAGCGGACTGAAAGAGCCGCTGCGAAGGAGGCTGAGGAGAAGGCACGGGCGGAGCAAGCTGCCAGGGAAGCAGAGGAGAGAGAACGGGCGGAGCAAGCTGCCAGGGAGGCTGAGGAGAAGAAACGTGCTGAGCTGGCTGCTGCCAAAGAAGCCGAAGAAAAGGCACGGGCCGAACAAGCTGCGAAGGAGGCGGAGGAAAAGGAACGGGCCGAGCGCGAGGCTAAGGCGAGGGAGTCGAGTTGGATATGGGGATTCTCGATGAGAGACAAGAAGAAACCAGACCCGAAACCCCCCACACCGCCCCCTATCGAGGTGAATAAGCCCAGCACTATTCTTGAACTGAATATATGGGATGACCCCCCAATTGCAACCGATAAGGGACAGGATCCAACTCCCCCCGGAGAGGCCACTGAAGTCGTTGACACCGCTGAGGCCGCCAAGGCCGCTGAGGCTGCCGAGGCTGCCAAAATCGTTGCAGAAGAAGAGGAGCTAGCCTATTTGAAAAATCGGGAGCAGACAAAGAAACTTACTAGCAAAAAGCAAAGGCGGCTTGATGAGCTGATAAGGAACGCTAGTGACCGAGCTAAACAGGCCGCCGCGAATGAAGCAGATGAAAAAGAAGAAGCAGAGCGCGAGGCCAAAGCAGCGGAAGCAGCACGTAGGGCAGAAGAAGCCGCAGATGATGATGAACTGGAAGCCCTTACAGACAAGTTGAAGAAGAAGGGGAGGCTGACTACAAAAAACCGAGAACGGCTTGAAATGCTTACCGAAAAGGTCAATTCTCGTTCAGCTATCATAGCTATTGCTAAAGACGAGGATGCGCAGAATGAACGGGAGGCCGAAGAGCTGGCTTTACGAGAGCAGGCCGCCCGGGAGGCTGAGGAAGAAGCCGCACGTAAAGCAGAGGAAGAGGCCAAAGCTGAGGAAGAAGCCGCGCGCAAGGCGGAGGAGGCCATGGATGATGAGGAACTCGAAGCCCTTCGGTCCAAGCTTAGAAAGGGCAAGAAACTCACTATGAGGGAGCGGGCGCGCTTCGACAGGCTTAATGAAAAAGTGAAAGCTCGTATCGCCGCTATGGAGGCCTACAACGATGCCGAAGAGGAAGCTGCACGCGAGGCTGAACGGGTAGCGCGTGAGGCAGAAGAGGAAGCTAGACGTAAGGCTGAGGAACAGGCTGAGCGCGAGCGACGAGAGGCCGAAGAGGCTGCTGCTGCTGCCAGATCCAAACAAAGTTCTAGATCCGACGACAGAAGAAATAAGCCTAGCAGGAAGGAACAGGAGGATGATGTCGACGACCTCGACCTCGACGATGTGGACCTAACAGTCGAGCAGGCTAACGAGATCCTGGAAAGCGTACCGCAGCCAGCGAAGCCAAGAGGTAGTGACCCCTTCGCATTTTGGGGTGCCAAACATATCTTAAAGGCCCCACCTCCTGGAATGATATGCACCTCTCAACCCAGACACCCAGTAGCAAGCAAGTTCGGAATTTCTGAGCCACCCAGGCCCCTGGAAGATGCCACTACTGGGCCGGTCGCTGGCCTGGTCAAGCCAGCTCGCGCGGAGCCACTCAACGACAATTGGGTGCCAAAAGGCAAATCGAAAGGAACCAAGGTCGCCGAGAAACTCAAGAAGTATGAGCCAGTAGCACAAGATGATGTCCAGGGCGGTGTGATGGACATGGACCCCAAAGTGATATCGCCGCGATTGCCACGACATCAGCGTAGTCAGCGTAGTCAGCGTAGTCTATCATGGTCCCACGATGATAGGGCAAGCAAGCCATCTCAGAGCGATAAGGATTTGGGCCCCGGTGGCTTCCCACCGAGTGACAATGACCATCATCATCATGATGCATACCATGATGGTTACGCCGAGGACGAAGACATTGCTGACAGCGACGATATGGCGCCTGAAGAACAAGAATCGGACACCAAGAGTGATGTGGATTATGAAAATGAACATGAACATGAACGCGAACGCGAACGTGAACGTGAACTTGAACGCAAACTTGTTGATTTCTCACCACCACCGCCAGGAAAGAAATCAAAGAAGAGCAGAAAGAGCATAGTCAGGGTCGAAATTATTCCTCCCGTCGTGCCACCCGCTGTACCGCCCCCACCACCGGCAGCGCCCGACTCACCGGCAATATCCCCGGCGCCGCTCCCCGAGGCGAAGCCGCCCAGGAAGGAACGAGTCAAGGTCAATGATTATGGCAGTCCCCAACGGGATATGTGGGCGAATTCAGGCACGCCACGTATGGGTGAGAGGATGTACTCTACGACCTGGACAGAAGAGAAGAAACCCAAGAAAGAGAAAGAAAAGCTCTCGTCCAAGAGTTCAGGTTCGGACAAAGCAGAGCAACGACAAGATGTCAAGGCATTACCGCCAAGTTCGAGACCTCGCGTGGATAGCGTTTTTCAGAGTACACCTCCGCTTTCTCGCTCTACGTCAACACGTAATAAAGTCACGATTAAATCAAGTTCGAGACGTCATACTGCCGAGATGAGCGGCGGACTAGTATCGCCCCCACCTGAAGACATGCCCGATATGACTTCGAAGGCGGCACAAGTTCTCGGGATGGATATGGGCTATAGTCGGAGAGAGCAACGAGCACGCGCCGCCGGAATGGACGACGAATTAGTTATGGACAGAGCCCGCGAGTTGGCATCAAGTCCTGATAAACCAATGCGCAGCAGGAGATCAAAGGTAACAAAGCGCCGGCATAACTCATGACTTATTCTTGCTAACTCAAAACAGGTCAGACCAGAAGATGACGTCGACATTGTCGATGCAGGCGGCCCTGTCCGCATGTCGCCAGTAAAACGGTCCAGCTCAAGTGCCAAAAGAGGTATTTCTGGACTTTTCGGCGGTCTGATGCACTCAACTCCCCGTCCTGAGCCTCGTCGCTCCGACCCTCGCTTTGAGTCCCGTACTGAGCCCCGTCGTCGAAGCACTTATCATACGACCGATGACGAGGTAATAAGGCCCGACAAGAGAGCAAGGCCTTCACGAAGAATGAGCAGCTTCGAGCAAGAAATTGATGCAGAGCGCGAAGCCCGCCGCGCAGCTCGCAGAGCCAGAAAGGAACAGGAGAAACTGGAAGAGGCGCGTCTTGCTAGGAAAGAGCAAGAACGATTGGAAGAGGCCCGGCTTGCAAAGGAAGAAGCTCGTCGGGAAAGGCGCAGGCGTCAGGAAGAAGAGATGGAGGAATTGCGTAGACAGGAGGAGCGTGATGCCCGACGCGCAGAACGTAGGGCTGCGCGCGAACGTGAGGCGCAGCGGCTTGCTTATGAGGAAGCCGAAGCGAAGGAGGCCGAGAAGGCGGAGCGTCGTCGCCGCCGTAAGCTAGAAAAAGAAGCTGCGGCTGAGGAAGCAGAGGCAGAGGCCCGTCGGGCGGCCCGAGCCGAGCGGCGACGGCCGCGGCACGTAGAGGAGGAGGAAGAGGAAGAGGAGCGCCGGCGAAGACGCGAGGCCAGGAGGGCTGAAAAGTCTAGTCGACACCGCTCTGTGCCTGTGGAGGATTATAGGTATTCCAATGAAAGGACGTCTAGATACACAGATGATGAACGGCGCAGGAAGACACCGGTTTGGCCAAATTCTGGCACGAGCTCGTGGGTCAAGGACCATTCAGAGCCGGGCCCGCCTCCGGATGACGGGCGAATGATGGATGACGAAGAGGCTCGACGTGCGGCCAGGCGAGCTGCCCGACGGCGGGAGAAGTATTACGACTCGAACAAAGAGTACGAGGATGATCAGAGACGAAGACGGGCTCGACGGGAAGAGCGGGATCGGGATCGCCGAGAGCGATCGGAAGGTAGTCGAGAAAAGGGGCAGCGAGAAACGCTATTCACGGATACGCCTCGAAGCAGTTGGTGGAAGAAATTTACGGGATCATGAACACAATTTTATGAGAGCAGACAAGGTGGGGATATTATATGACTTGTTTTTATTTTGCTTTGTTAGGGACGGACATGTTTTGCTTGTGCCTTTTCGGGACAGGATCACATATATTTTGTGTTCTATATACGCCGGCTCTCTTTTTGGAGTTCCCATGTCTGCATGGCTTAGCTAGACTTTGGGCATTAGCCAGTTGGCTATAGAAAGGGGCCAATGAAGTCTTGCTGTATATATTGGAATCCGGTTGCAATACACGAGTTATACCCAAAATCCTGATCAGTCAATGCTGATGCTACGAAGCTAGGTTATTACAACTTTGGTAATAGTTACGATTGTAGTTGTGGCTTGTTTGCAATGCAGGTCGTCGTGAGCCTCACTCGGTAGTTTAAAGTTATGTCTTTAGTATTGTATGTTATTTTTGTGTTTATTCTTTAATTGTTTAGTAGTTTATAAACTTCTCCTAGCCGCCCTGTGATGTTAGGTTGTAGTTGTAAGTAAGTGGTCGTCGTGTTCAATGGAGATCAGCTGCGTGAGCATCAAGATATGACAGTCACCAGGTACTACTTGTCCTCTCTTGTCTTGTAGTTATCTTTTCATGTCTCTCGAACATGATAACACATGACAGAACAAACACGTGTAAACACCCGCACTCCCAGCCCTTAACTCAAAGGCAAGGACTGACCCGTCTAAGACTCGAGGCAAACTCACACGTCCCTTCCCTCCCCTTCTCATGCCTTCGATAGGACGCTTGGCCAGATAAACAACAACGAGCAAGCAACCACACAATGAAGCACCAGTGGAGTAGTAGTTAACTCGTTTCCCTCCCACTTTTCTCGCGGCAGGAAGGAAAGGACCTGGGTGCAAATCCCGGCTGGTGCAATTTTTTTTCGCATGTTCTTTTTGCTCTCGACGCCTCAACCTGCTTGCCCAGCCACTTTTCCAACTTTGAGGGGTACTTGTCTATCGGTTTATTGTCGGCCTGTATTAATTAGAGATAAATATTACGAGATAAATCATATTCTCGCCCCTTTTCTCTTCCGCCAGACGATAGCGTATCTGCTGAGTGTCGACATGAAGGTATTGTATGCAACCGACTGTATGACAACGTCACCGGCGCAGACCAGATATTGAAGTGCAGAACTAAAATGCGTCCAACACTTTGTTAATATTACCTTGAGCTTCAAACTAGCCCCTATTCGCCTCTGGATCCAGGCCGGACCAACACAACCCGCACTAATTACCACTTGTCTAATCCGTACGGATCCGTATGTCCGTACCTACTAGTATACTACGTAGATTCTCTAACATCTCTAATTAAAGTACGGACGTAAACAAGAAACACTTGATGGAACCAAGCAACTCGATACCTTAAAACTACGAAGTACTGCTGCTAAAATCCTTCCACTTACCCCTATTCTTTGTCTAGTGCGCGTCTCTTCTTAGTGCACGTCACAAAAAAGGACGAATCCATTCCTGATCCTCATTAATACCTCTTTGTACTTGCAACCAATGGTTGCGTGATCTTAGATGCAAAGCTGACCCATGTTACCGGCCGTCCCTCCGATTGGATAATAGCGTTCTCAATCAGAAGAGGGCGAGTGCCAAGACTATGTCTGCTCGCAGGTCAGCGAACCATTCTACGTGCAGACGGTATGTACACATATGGTAATACGTGTCGGAAAAAATCACGGTCCTACACCAGGAACATTCAAGGCATCACGAGGAACGTATTCACAAAATTTATTTAAACTTTAGCAAAGAAATTCGGGTTCGTGCGGTAGCGAACTATCTGAACCAAAGCCGCCGCAGTAATGGCCAGAGCTCCAGCATAATACATAGCCGGTCGAAATGCCTGCAAGCTCGCGTCCTGCCCACCGTAGGCATCGAGTATAAATCCCGCAATAGGGGCGCCCTATATATTGAAGGTCAGAATTGTCTTTCTGAGAATCGGATGTTATATATCTTACCAGGAGATATCCCCCTGACCAGCCTGTCACGACCATGCCCATAGCTACTGCAACCCGACTTGAGCCGAAACAGTTGCCCACGACTGTCGGCATGGTCGAGAAAAACCCACCGTTCGACATTCCATTCACAATACTGAAAACTGCCAATGGGGCCACCGATGTAGAGACGGGCCACACAGCCAGCGTACTGATAACGGTGAGTATAAGCGCGATCAATAGCGTGTTTAGAGAGCCGATTTTATCGCATAATAAACCGCATAGAACTCGCCCTACCGCAGAGGCAAAGTTATATCCGGCTAGGAGACCAGCACCAGTCGTAGTGCTCAAGCCGATGGCATGAGCGAATAGGGGGAGGAAGAACGGCGGCACGAGGAGAGGGAAGGTTCCAATAGCTCCCACTAGAAATATCAGGATGAAATTGATGTCCTTGAACAAAGCCCTGGGAGTTCGGTCAGCAAACGGAGCCGGAAGAAACATTGGCGCACGTACCAATCGATGAAGTTTCCGGAGTGGGCCCTCGTGCGCTCCTTCAAAAACCAAGCGGCTGGCAAACCCGTTACCAGCGCCGCGAGACCAAGGGTTCGGAAAGCCCAGGCTATTCCGGCCTTCCGTATTAATGGGTCTAATGCTATACTGAGAACGGCGCCGCCAAAGCCACCACTAGCGAAAACGATGCCATTGGCCAGGCCGCGCTTTTTGCTGAAGTACTGTGCTGTCGTGCTTGAAGTGACCTAGGATTGATCATCTTAGCACAACGATGATCGCATCGATGAGCGCCAGAGGGGAAATCATAGACTCACTATAAACGAAAGCCTACGAAGTCAATTTGTGTCAGCAAGAGGACGGACTGACATGGGCGCATCAACTGCGTAGAAACTTACCCAAATCCAAACCCTAGCAATACACCCTCGGTAATGAATAACCCCGGCACACTTTTCACGGCGAAACTTGCCAATATTTCAGCAAGTCCAAGGACTGTCACGCCCAGCATGGCAGTATAGCGAGCTCCAATGGCCCGCATGAGGCGGGAGTTCAGGATAGCCACGGCGGCAAGCAATGTGGGACCTAGAGAGCCCACAAATGCCAATACTCCGGGTGTCGATAAACCCTCCTCTATCAAGGCACCCTGAATGACTCCCCAGCTGTAACCAGTACCGATCGACCACCATGATAAGGTGGCGCAAGAAATCACGATGACCCAGCCATAGCCGCCATCGGGCGCTTGCGAGTCGGCCAGGCGTGAGGCTTCCAGTATGGGCTCTGCGCTGTGTTTTTCTGTTGACAGGACATCTTGTTGCACTGCTGTGGGTCTCTCTTCCTGAAAATCGACAGCCGTAGAAGCAGACATTGAAACAGATGCGGGCACGTTCGTAGACGTGAGCGTGAGCGTAGGCGATACTGTTGTCATGGTGCAGAAACAAGCCAGTCAACTGTGCAGGTTCTACAAGAGTAGATAACCCGTGTGTGACTTGCTGAAGACTGAACGATCTGGCTGGCTTACACCCTCCATGCTTATATGAGCCCTTTGAGCCAGAAAATACTTATATGCCGCCCACCCCCAGTAAGCATTAATCGTGAATCATTAGATACGTAGTTGTATGCAATCGTAGTCTAGCCAAATTCAACCTGACTAGGATACGGTTGAACGCATCTTACCCACAGAATCACACCTTCCCGAATCTCTTACCCCTGATAGCTCCAGATTTACTACAAGTACGTCCGTACTACGGACGTAGTTAGGTACCGATCCGTACTACTAGTGAGTTGCTATACCTATTGATCAGTAAGTCAGTAGGTAAGTTTTGCCGAAGGAAGTGCCTCGAGTCGGCATCTGGCGTGGCGATTGCTTTCATACACAAAACTCCAGTAAACTGAGCGTTTCGAACCCTGACCGGCAACCGCTCCCCTATCAAATACCTTAGATACCTATGTATTGATTAGTACCAGTAATAGGTTGAATTTCGACTTATACAAGAGGTACGGACCGTAAGGCATGCTTGACTCTACCTATTCACTTGCGTTTGCGCCACAATACCTGGTACTTTGTAGATGCACTAGGTATAAGTAGATATGCACAATGAAGCACGTACTTAATTGCGGCCGAGCTGTTCTCGTAGACGGGTGCGGACCTATCGCACAATAGGACGTCATTTCGCGGGCCAAGGCTGGACGCTGCTGCGAGCGTGAAAATCTATTTGTGAGAAAAGCTACGACAACATCAACCCCTTGAGTTGCCTCGGGCCAACGTTTCAGAAGCGGTGATCATGTTCTAATACCTACTCTATGGAGCCCATCGTAAGAATATATAATGCTCTCACAGGCATTGAGTGCTCTTGGTTCTTCCGGTGCCGCGAAGCTAGGTGGGTAATTGACAGTTGCTTGTGATAAGATCTTGGGGCCGACTTTGCGTATTCACTCGGATTATTAGATAAGCAGCCATGAGGTACCGGCAGGTGCGGACTACCTACCTACCTTAGCTACCAGGTATCTTAGATTACAGTGCCTGCGCTATCTATACTTATAGGTACCTAGGTAATCATTGACATTGTACGGACTACCTAAGTATCTACAGTAATGCGACTACTTACCTAATGTACAGAGGTAGGTACCTACGTAGGTAAGTAGGTAGGTAGATGAGGAACAGGATGATACGAAGTAGTATTACAGTCTAATTTAGGTAGGTAGTATCGAATCATTCGAATGTGCCTAGGTACTTAGGTAGGTAGGTAGGTAGGTATTCCATATGCCTGAGTACTTACTTGTGGACTCGACCACCGGCCGCCAGGCCGATCCAGACCTGTGTTTATGAGTACCTATGCACACACGAGACCAAACACCATAGGTATAGGTATAGGTAACGCGTTTTCATTCTTCGCCTGCCTCATTCTTTTTAGCTGGCCACGCTGGCGGTCTTGTTGCGGACGGCCTTTCTTAAGTATGGGGACCGGCTATCCAGCACACCGGCACAGAATGTTCTTTGTAGCTATGGCTTAATTCGTAAGTACTTACCTACCCTACGGATTACGTCCATACCTTACAGGTATGAAGACGGAGGATGGACCCCGGTTCGTCGGGCCCAGTATTTTACATCTACTAATTCTTAAAGACCACGGGCTCGGTGTACCTACTTTAGGTACCTATGTACCTACCTACCTACCTAACTACCTTAGGTACTTTAATATGTACAGTGTATATACAGTACGGATACTGTATTTGTCTTAGGCAGGTATTTACTACTAGTAGGTACCTAGGTAGGTATTCCGTACAGTAGGAGCTCTCCCGCGCCTCCACTGCCTAGGTACCTACCCCATAGCTTTTGTGGGGTGGTTTTTTTAAATGTTTCTTATTCGCTCGAGTGCACTTGCCTCGGTTGCCACTAACTGAAAAGGCTGGTGATCCCAAGCGACGTTTCAAACTAAAAGAGTGGGGCGGGCCCGAGTAGGAAATAAAGTACCTACCTAGGTATGTATCTACGTAGGTACCTTACGTAATCCGTAGGTACCTAGGTAGGTAGGTACCTAGCTTAACCTAGACGGGTTACAGATTGTTCATTGCGTGGAACTTGTCATTACGTAACCTCCTTTGTTTTTACGTACGTACCTACTTTCAAACCCTCTTTGTCACGTGGATCATATACGAAGTCCGGACGTACTTAGGTAGACATTTAATGCTTAGTGTACTACTACCTACCTGAGCAAATGACCTACGTAACCATAGGCCTAGAAGTTTCTGCCATACAGGGACCAGGTCTATGGAGTTAGGCAGGGTCGAAATCACGGGATGAACCGCATCTGCACGCCGAATCTACCTCGTTTTGTGTTCAGGGCCAACCACAGGGACTCTGCCTGGGCATCGCAGACTGGCCAGAGATGATGACGAAACTACCTTAGGTAGGTATACAGTGCTCATGTC